CTAACCGAAGATTTTCCAGAGGAACTGAAAACAAGCAGGAGATACAATTCCAATCTCCAAGATACTGCATTCGCCAGACGAAATGAAACTGTAGTCGACAGGCGTAGAGGAAAGAAGAATGGAGGCAAAAAGAAACGAAAAAATAAAAGAAATCTTCGATGTCCAGTCTACTATAATGGAACGAGATACGAAATGCCAGTAACAAAGTTCGGCAGAAAGAAAAGAAAAAACATAAAGTCAATTGAAAGCAATAGCGCTTCTGCAGAAAACTTAAAATCCGTTATTTATTACGAGAAGTTACCGAACGGACAGTCGGAACCCAGAGTTCTTACGGAAGAACTTTTTATCAGTTAAATGAGTGCTTGTGATTATCATTTATTGTTTTTATACATACATAGACAGTTCGTTCCGAACAAGGACCTTTGTCAACATTAACCATGTGTGATTCGTATTAACAGTTCATTTAAGTTATTTCATAGTTTTTATAAGCTTATCCCTTTCATAAAATCATTAAAGTATTATTTAATTATATTTTTAGTGTTTATTTATTGATCAGACATTAAATACCAAATGCTCCAAAAACTTTATTAAAACCTCTAGTCACAAAAGTGAGAGAGGCTTAAAATTATTAATTATTATAGGTTGTACAAATTTTAAATTTAAAGGTTTTATTAACAAAATAGTTATAGACATTTACATGCTTTAGGATACTTGGATCATTATTTTTAGCCTCAATAAGTATTTGGTTTTACCTGATCAAAAATAGATTATTTATTTAAGAGAGTGCTGTAAGAACATGATAAATATTTTATATTACTAAATAGTAAGCGTTTCCTTAAGAAAATTAAAAGTTTAAGTAAAACCGGTTTTTCTTTTTTAGTTTTAAAATATTCAGGGTGTGCAGAAATCCTTTAATAAAATCACTAATGATCAACGGCCTCTAAGGCTATGATACCCGCACAGCCGAATAATCACCCGATAATTACTTATGAAAAGGTCACAAAAAAAGAGGGCGAATCCGTATGCATCACTGAATTCAAGCTCGCGTTAATTATAATTCATTCTCAAGGCAGCGTGGTATTATTGTAAAACATAAACATATCAAGTAAATAAAGTATTAAACATTGAATTAAGTAAATATTAAAGTGTTATTTCAAGACGAAAAAGTTTGCGTATTACTTGGTTTCAACCAATGAGACACTCGGTAATAATCTAAAGGCTATGTTACACTGACAGGCCGCGCTGAAACCATTACGTAGAGCGTGGACTGACAATCTACGAATCGTCTAACAGGGGTTTGATAATAATTGGCGCTACCTTACAAAAATTCAAAATTAACATTTTGTTATATTTTTTCGAAGGAACATACGTAGTATAATTAATCCTTATTTGGATAAAAACAAACAAATATTGAAATTATGATTCCTTTATATTTTGATGCCTAGCGATACATCGCGTAAGGCCTCCTTTGATAATAACGAACACTATTTCTACACCTCGAAGTTTACAAAATGGTAGGTTTTGCTTGTACCAATGCATACAGTAATAGCAAACTTTTGCCTAAAGGAAACAAATGGATTTGTAGATACTTAATAAATCTTATTGAGTTTATCCTTGGAACTGAGATTCTGCAGAACTATTAACCTTAATAGTGATATTTTGATCAGAACATTCGGTAATCAGTATGATATCAAAACTGCCTTCACATCAAAGCCACTTGAGCCCATTTTAACAAGAGAGACCACAAACTCTACTACATAAAAAATAATGCATCTACAAGGTATCATGTGAATATGGAGAAACAAAAAGACCTTTAAACACACGGATAAAAGCACACCGAAATCATACAATACGAGGGGAAACAGCCAAATCCTGAATCGCATATCACTCCTGTATTTAACACCACAGGATAGATTGGTATGTCTCCAAAATTATGCATCATGGGAGTCACTGGTACCGAAGGAAATTCAAGCAAGCAGAATACATCTTCAAAAATCTACATTCTTTCAGTCAGACCAACATAGAACTCCGAACGTCTGGAAATCGGCCATAAAAGGGATTAACAAACCGGAACTAATCAAGATAACCAAGGAAGAAACACACTTGAAATATCTTGAAGAGGTCAGGGTCAGTTCAATCATTCCAGTGGGATTCAAAATCAAATGCGTCATCCCTGGAAGAAAAGTAGAGAAAATCATGGAAAGCGCCTCAGGCCCTCTTCCGATCACAGATCAGCTACCACCTATGGAAGAGATCCGTTTTGTTAGACGACCTCATTAGGCATTATAACGAGATCATGAAACACCTACTCAACCAGACGATCTTCAAAAAGATTAATAAACTCTGTATAGAAATACAAAAATGAGAAAAACTGAAGAAATTAAGATCAACCAAAGGCAACCAAACAAATGAACCAGAGCAGAAAGGAAATAGCAGCATTGTTAACGCTTACATAGGCAGAAAACAGTATCGTACAGAAAGGACTTATTTTGTTATAGCTTCACATAAAACACCTACATTGAACATAGTAAGCGCCGTTGAAAGCATCAATTTTACGAAACCGGAGACAGAAGAATTCATATGGAAGATAAAGGCAAATCTGAAAAAGAGGAAAGCACCTACAAAGAATAAATCAAAAGGAGACATGGCCATCAGAAACCTTTAAAAAGACTCCACCATCAAAATTCTACCAGCAAACAAACGGAAGATGGTCTTACTGGAACAAGGGCCTAAAGTTACCAAAGGATTCAACATTAACAATCGAAAGAAAAATCTATCAGACCTTAAAAAAATCCAGAAGCGGGCTCACTCCACAACACAGCAAGCCACCACATTTATATGGATTGCCAAAAATACATACCTAAACCAAACCTTCCGCTGAAGCCCATCATCAGCTCTTGAGACTTACCTAAAATTGAACCACTGCAAGGGAATACACAATCGTGGATGAGAAGCTCCAATCACTTCGTCAACATCAAAAATAAAATCCAACTAGCACCAAACGATGGTTCGTCATATTTGATTTGGGAAGAAGTTTCTTCACCAACATCCTGATTACAGAAGCACTCCGGATAGTTCGAAGGAGACTATAAAATGACAAACACTTATCCGAACCGTCATCTAAACCTGGAGAGTACTACACACAAAAGACGACGGTTTTTCAGTGGGATCATCTCTCTCGCCTACACTAGAGGTATACAGGTGTCAGGTACACACTGAAGAAGCTTTTAAACAAGAAATGGACACCATCAAGAAGGAGTTACAATAAAATCACTATCCACGTCAACTATTATTGGAGGAAACTATCAGAGAAGGAAACAAGCAAGAAATTTTGTCGAAGAAAACAGCAGAATACAATAAAAATCCGACACATAATCCTATACGTCAAAGGCTTTACATTTTAACAAGGATTAGATCAGAAACTCTACCACGTGAAAAAGAATGCATCTATAAAATGCCACGTGAATGTGGATCACATTATACAAAGTAATAAAGAGGCCTTTAAAGACACCGATAAAAGAACACCGAAACCACACAATACGAGGGGAAACAGTCAAATCCAGAATAGCACATCCTGGATTTAACACCACAGGATAGATTGGGATACAGCCAAAATTATCCACTATGAGGTCATTGATACCGAAGTAAATTTAAAAAAACAGCATAGATACAACTTCAAAAATCCGCATTCCTTCAGTCAGGCCAGCATAAAAATTCCAAACGTCTGGAAATCCACCAAAAAGGGGAATCACGAACTGGAACTGGAACCAAGGAAACCGTCATGGGCGAATAAGCGAATAATAGTAAGAATAATAAATGTCTTGCCTACTATATACTATGATAAGGTTGTATTGCATGCTGTGAATATGTTAGATGTTTTTGTATAAAACTAAATAAGAACTAATAATTATTTATTATTATCGAAACCATATATGTTTCCACGTCGATATTAATCGACTCCCTAATAGTCCAAAAGACCTACGAGTTAGCAACTTTTTGCAAGCTAATAAAATTAAAAACAGGATTGATGAAAACTATTAATAAGTACTTAATTAGACTGCCACTCCAGTTCACAGTAAGTATTTAAGTAAGTACTTCCACCTGTAGCTTGCATCAGTTTTATACATTTATTAGTCCAACTACATCTTACATTGTATATAATAACCGCACCCTTTCATGTATTTTATTTATAAAAAGAAAATATAGCAAACATATGCATGTGTACATTGAGGTATGCTGTTTTGCGGATCTTACTGACAGTGGCGCCACCAGAAATTAGGGTTGGAGGGAGCTGGTTGAAATTTCCAATATATCACCTACTTGAAATTTATGTTGGGTTTAACCAAATTCGTTGCCATAAATCTATTATTATTTATATGTTGCATTTTACGAATTACCTTAATCTATATCTTCGGTTGGGAAGAGTGTGGTCCCTTCCGAAAAGTGAAACAGCAAAAATTGAACATATAGATAATAATAGACTTATTACCTACTTATTTTTGGATAGAATATTTAAATAAAACAATATTGCAATAGTTTAAAACTTTTATTAAAAATTAAATATTTACATTGAACCTTCTACTCTTCCAAAAAAAGAGAGTAATCATTTTATCAACGTTTAATTACAATCGAGTGGTAAATAGTAAGTACTGTTGAGAAAAATCTCTCTGGATTACAGGTTGACTGTGATAGAATCACAAGTTTAAATATTGCGAAATATTTCATTTTTGTATTATAAAAGACCTTCTACTGCAGAAAATTTAGTTTCACTATTAAAATGTTTTTGTTTGCACAAGTCATATTCTAAAGTTACAATAGGTACTTACTCTTCTAGATAAATAGCTTTTTTATAACAATTCGAGAGTAAAAATAAAAGATAGGGGGCTGCAGCCTGGCAGCCTCCCCTGGTTGCGAACTGCTTTCTGGATTCCAATTACTTTTTGTATTCAATATTGAATATTTAAATAATAATAAAATAATTACACTGTAGACGTGTCAGTTCACTTGTACTCGTACTAATTGCATTAGGAGATTTAAATATATAACAAGATTTAAATAAAATAATTTGTCTATTAAATTATTATAATATTCAATATGTTGAGACGTTTCGATCACTAACTTTTGTGATCCTTTTCGTGTCAATTACGTTAAAAATAAATGCGATCTACGAAACAAAATTTATATGGAACTTAAAATTATTTTCACGTTATTATATCAGCAGTCACCGTTATAATTTTAAGCTTATTAATAGATTGCTAATGAAGCTTCCTTTATCTCGTTTATTTGTAAACTAGACAACAAATAAACAAATAAAAATTCCAGTAGTTGAAGTTAACCGTTAATTACCTTACAATAGCTTAAAATGGATGGTTGCAGAAATAACCTTGCTTATCCGAATATGTCGAAGGTTAACCGCATCTTCACTTTTTACATCCTTTTCATAAATTCATATAAGTGCGTGCCTTTTCATTCAATCGACCGCCGCGACACATCAGGCCTTCTGAGATTTATACGTCGCTTTTACAATAATGTAAGTATAGCACACTGAAACAGTGCACTTTAAACTCATGACATTTACATCCTTCTTTATTTTCTTGCACACGTGTTTGTTTTAATGGAGTCATTACAATTATAAAGTTAAATTGCTTGCATTCTAATACTGATGGTGTCATTTTCAGTAACAAATACTGCGTTTTAGGAACAAAAAAAGAGAATAAATATCAATGACAGCAAATGATACAGATAAGGGTCGTTTTTTACTCATGGTTAGCCTAAAAGAGAAAAAATAGTTCCATAGCTAAATGTGATGGTGTT